CTAGTAGACTAAATTAATGTTTCACGAAATTATGTGTGTCTAAAACTTTGTTACCAACGGGAACAATTTTGACAGCTCTGATTTGGACAATAATTTAGCCTGGAAAATATGGTCAGAAATATGGCTTTGAGGGAGCGAATTCCATTAATTGAAATCGGTTGTTTGTTCAATTTCTGCGTCAAGACTGTCGAATGGCGCAGGAGGAATGCTCAGGAAGTTGACAAACAGACGCAAAGGAGTGTATAAATAGAACTGCAGTTGCTGGAGAGTTATGTTCGGATACTTCACGGAAGATAAAAGGATGGTTAAAGAAGAAACTCGCAGATTAAGCATGACATTTTTACTATTTGAGTCTGTTGAGCAGGTGAATAGAAAAAGACAAAAATGAAAGAATGGTTTAGATCTCGAAGGAAGCCCGTTGAAAAATCGATAAGAGAGTGGTTAAGATATCCAGTGAAGTGCAATAGATACCAGAGGGAGATTGGTTGAGTTATCCAACAGTAGGGTTGAGATTTTCGTATTTTTCTTCCTACTGCTCTTTGGATGTCAATTCCTGCGTAAGAATCGGATTGTTCGCCCATTTCTGGTTCCAGAACGTGTGTTTTGCATTCACATCCATTTTACAGATTTGGCTTACTTGTCTGCAGACAGTTAGTTCCTCGCTTCTCAGGCAAAAACATGCCGGCTTCGAGGGAACTATCCCTATTTAGTCGCTTTTTTACAACATGCTTCTTATGTGGTGGTGGGTCTATTCTTGTTTTATTAGAAAAAGGGCCCCGGAACACACACAGGAAGTGTTCATGGGGCAGTGCTGGCAATATCCATGGAAGTGTAGTTGAAATATTTTATTCTTCTTCTTTATTCTTATTTGCGTTCATCTGCAACTTCTTTTTCTTAACGTTCACCGGCTGTAAATTTTCTCGGAAAGTCTTGAGATATACGTGCACATCCAAGTTACAGATCTGGCTTATGTGTATGCGGACTGTTGGTTACTTTCTTCTCTGGCCGATGCACTTCGACTTGGAATGAAACACCCACAATTAGTCTCCATCTATAACATGATCGTTAGGGGGCAGTGGGTCTCCCGCCCCCCCCCCCACCCTAAAAATGGGGCCCCGGAATCCACAAAGGGACATTGGGTGTAATTTCCGGCAGACAGCCATTGCTGTCCATCCGCTTCTGGTTGTGGTCATTTTCCAGGCTGTTATTTTGTGCGCACATTCGTTCTACAGCTCTCACTCAGTTGTATGCAGACTTTCATGCAGATAGACTTCGACTTCTACAGAAACGTCGAACCTATCTTCTCGGCCAGACCTCCATTTTGGAACCTTTTTCTAGGATGCTATCAGAGATATCGCTAGGTCTTGACTAGTATGAAGTTTGAACAACGGACCAACATCATGGCACACTGGTAGTAACCCATAAGTGCTCCGTTCTTCTTCTAACTCAAGTCTGAATTGGAAGAAGGTCAGCACTGTGCACATGCTCTGTAGCATCGGCGAGAATCCTGAATTAGATTTTTTAACTCCAAATTTTGCCCGGGCAGTGCCGTTAAGCTACTCTTTTTGATTTCAAACTGCCAATGGATTCTTTACTAGAGCAATGATGCACACAGGCGTCCGATCTCACTAAAGATCTCAAGAAAGAGTAGGCGAGTTCAGGGCTGCCGAAATTTTGTGGAAAATAGTACAAAATGTTTTTAACAAAGTACCAACACACACAAAAAGAAACCAAACTTTTTTTTTTAATTATACAAAACCGATACAATGCCTTTAAACACACACTTACACTCATATAATAACTGTCTTACCCTAAATCAGAAATCAGAAATGACATTTATTGTCCAATAAATCATCGCTCTGCCATTTTGTTTTTCTCTCGTTTAATTAGTACGCCGTTGTGGCGGTTTCCAGTTGGTGTACCTAATTTTCTAGAAAAATGGCTGATTAAATTAATGCATTTATTGTTGTAGTATTCACCGTAAAGCGTAGTCTTCACAGACAAGCGTAGTCTTTACAGAAAAGGAATTTTTATATCTCAACATTTAAAATACCGTTATAAATGCAACCTTTCTAAAACGTACTAAAACATTAGTGTAATACTTGAAGTATATATAGTTTTGCTCGGCAAGGGTTAGTTCAGTGTTTTCCAAACTTTTCTTAATCGCGGCGCTTTTTTTTTTTTTGCCCCAATAAGTAATGTTTTAACGGCGCCCCAACATAAGTAAAAGTATGACTATTTGTATGTAAGAGATTTAAAAAAAAAATACTTACCAAAATAAAAAAAATACTCGTGTATCTTAGAATATTTCACGGCACCCCTGTTAAGAGGTCGCGGCTTCCTGGGGCGCCGCGGCGCACGGTTTGGGAATGACTGGGTTAGATAGTACCAAATGTGTACGAAAGTACCTACTTCGGCAGCCCTGGTCGGATTACTCTGGAGTCAGTGATTTAAATATCTCAGGAACGGTGTTAAGATTACTTAAGGAAGAGTGGTTGCTATATACCCGAGGGATAGATGTGTAACATATCTGGATGTCTTGACCACATAATATGGGAATGACAAGAACAGATCTGGATTGCGAGTCTCGTGATTATGTGAAATTGTGAATCGGGACCCAATTCACTAAAGAGCATGACACATAATAATGTTTAGAGGAAATAACTTTAAGAAATTCTTACAGAAGTTTCTTTGTCTAGGCCAGATAGGTTCAGGTTTAGGTTTAGACGACGGATCAACATCATAGCACAATGTGTAGTAACACATAAGTGCTCCATTCTACTTCTGACTCAAGTCTGAGTCCGAAGAATCTTATCGCAGTGCACGAACTCCGTAGCACCAGCGAGGATCCTGAAATACTTTGAACACAATTTTTAACTTTAAATTAGGCCAGATAATTACAGGCAGTACTCGGTATGAAAATAGAAGTGCTGCTATGGCCTAGAGACATTCATAACAAAAACAAACATTCCGAACATGAAGTTACAGCCAAGTTCATTAACTTAAACAAAAAATCGTTTCATAAACCTGGCCTGTAGCTCTAAACGACTCTCTAACATTTTCTGTGTAAAACAGTGGAAACTAGATTACAATCTATTGTCTTCCGATATTATTGCAAATGATATAAAGATCCAATTTCACGCCTTAGGCACATTGGGCATATGGGAAGAGCATCCATATTTGTACAGACTAGGTGGTAATGTGGTCAGCATTACGCAGGCCGTCTTTCGCAAATAATATGATGGGTATAAATGAAAGAAGCCGAATACATTATTATAGACATTAGAGAAATTGAAATTATTCAGTATCATATTTAAAAAAATGAAAACGGTGGGGATAATAAATTATGAGATGGGGAGGAAGAAGAGGGAGCAGAGGGCAGATAGAGGGGTAAAGAGGAAAATAAAGAAGTGATAGAGGATAGAAAAAAAAATTCAACGAGAATTTAAGTAAGATGAGAGGGGCAAAAAGGGGGGGGGGGGGGTGAGGGGGGGGATAGAAAATAAGAAAAGAGAGAAAATGAGATGGAAAAGAAAGAAAAGAGGAAGATGGGACGGAGATGGAGGAAGTGGAAGAAGATGATAGGGAAAAGAGAAAAAAAAATTACCCATTTCATATTCAGAATATTATAATGAAATCTGTTGCTGAAAATACTGTACTAGAGAGCAAAATAAAGGACAAAAGAAGAAGAAATCGATAAAAAAAAAATCTATGACTCAATCATGCAAAGAGGTTAAGATGCAGATTTACAGTGACCTGAAAAGTGTTGCCGCGAATAGTAGTGGACCGTAGAAAAACATCGTTCGACTCAATTGGCAGTCTTCAGACTAAGTTATTTAGGGGATTATTTAATTATCCCCCACCCCCATTTTATGACATTCCCATATTGATAGTTATCTGTAGTGCCGCTTTTGCTAAATACTATATGCCGAGGCCCCATTCTCTGGAGGTGACAGGTTCAATTCCCGGCACGGTAATTATAGCTTTCGATTTTTATGTTGTCTAGTGTGTTATTCTATCTTTCTACTTCTTTCTATGAGTGCCGATCAATACACTTTCTGTTACTCGATTAATTCATACTATTTAACGGCCTCAAAGGTTCCCCCTCTGTTTATTTTAGGAATGACGTATACACACCGGAACCTACAAATCAAATACCTTCCTTTAATGTTTGTGTATTCTAGACAAAGCAATAAGGTCTTACTGTGTTCGTAAATTGTTGCTGTGATTGTTATTCGACATTTGCTTCGTTAATATAAATTTCTGTAACCTATGGTGCCATTTCAATGGGTTGAAATGAATTATGTCCGTATTCCATAGTTGTGGATTTCAAGCTGTACGATAGACATGGCCAATAAGACACCTTTTGGGGAAGGGGGGGGGGGATGCCTAATTGACCATGTATCTTAGTGCACTTGTATTCATGGCGAGGCGCAGACGCCGTCTGGAGGTGACAGGTTCAATTTCCGGCACGGTAACTATAGCTTTCGATTTTTATGGTGTGTTCTTCTATCTTTCTACTTCTTTCTATTAGTGCCAATCAATAAACTTTCTGTTACTCGATTAATTCATTCTCTTCGTAAAAATTTCGAAGACGCGAGGACACTTTGTAATACAGCAATCTCGTCATCCCCTTGTGGAATGCAAATTTTTAGTTATTTTTTCCCGGGAGCCGTAAATATAGCCGGGCCTGAAAAATGGCCTAACGGCTGAACGGGGTTTTCGGGACCTCTCCACTGATGATCCTCATCGGCATGTTGGCTCTTTGTATCACCAGGTGTTTATCGCTCTGTGGGATGTCCTGGTGGGGTACAACTTACATACTTACAAGACACTTTTTAATAAACCCTGCGCGTTGGAAATCGAACACAGATGCCTCGAAATTTGTAAAACTATGAAACTCATTCACTAACCTCTTAGCCATAGAGAAGAACGAAAGAATAAATACCCAAATAGTAAAATTATTCACAGTAATAATCTATTTGTGTTGTTCTTTTCAG